TTCTGCGTGCTCATTTGCGGCGGCTGTTTGGTGACTTTTTGACTTAAGACTTGCAAGGTCGCCACTCCTGAAGAACCCTGAGTTGTCTCCTTCCAAATTTACCGCTCTTCTGACCGAGCAGCTCACGAGCCAACAACGCGTAGAAAGGCTGCTTGAGAAAGTGACGCGGCCATTGACCAGAGAGTGAAGACTGTCGAGTATTGAGAGCTAACAACGCAGACATTGACCAAGACTAGGACAACTCTATAAAGGCGCCAGTCAAGGATGGAAAAGCTGTGTTTAACGGCCGATATGGCTAATCCAACCAAGATAGGCAAACAAATAATGGTGCGCATTGCGTGAGGCGGTTTGGGAATTACAGAACTAAGTGGCTCAGTCTCGAATCAGCACTACACGAACACAAAAAAATAACAAATATATACTGTAATTGAGGAACACGTGGTTTCAACACATACGGTTATTTTTGTTCTCCTTGCATTCGTTTGAAGGAGCTTTCATTTTTTGGAAAGCAACACTCACATTGTGGTCTTTTGAGATTGGTGGTCATTGGTGGTCGCATTTCCTACCTGGGAATAAAGCCTGTTGCTTCAGATTGGGTTTTGGAAGCATGCTGCCACAATTGCCCAAACACCAGGAACCACTCAATTTTTTTTTGGGTACCACATATAACATGCGGTGGCCTCTTTATTTGATCATTTGTGTTTTTTTTCTTGGGGGGGCATGCTGAAAGTAAATGGGGTCCAGAGCCCATCAACAAAAAATAAAACATAAATCAAATCCGTCCGGAGCCCATTGAACGGCATGGCGTTTGGTTGGTGAGATTTGGACCGCCTGCCGATTGAAGCCCATTTGTGCTTCCGTGTAGGAGCCCATGACGAACCTGGTGGTTGGCCCAACGAATCCGGTGGGCCCTGCCATGGCAGCAGCACGCACGGCACGGGTGAACACGCAGGAACCCTTCAACTAAGAAGGAGCAGAGCTGGAGCGCTCAGAAACTGGACCAACCAGTTTGGGCGTGGCAAAGGTTCGTTTCGTGGACCGACTTGAAGACTTTACCGTGACACCCTCAGATTTGCACAACTAAATCTTAATCACTGCTGATGCTTTATGTTTCATGTGGTTGGAGACATGGTTGGATCCAAGAGCTTTTGATGTGCGTGTCTTCTTTCAAGGTATGAGGACAAACACATCCCAAGCCACCGAAGTCGAAACGTAAATGTCTCACCTTTGGAAACCTGTGCTGTGAGAGGTGCAGCTTGAGATCCGGACCTTCCTTAGAGCAGCATGTTTGTGTTGCATGTGAGTGCAGACAGCCACAGGTATGATGTGATCGAACGCAATCAATCCACTTGAGGCCGTTGGATCAACTCATCAGACTTTCTCATTGACTCAGTGAAAGACTGTGAAAGAACATGAGTGCATGGTGTCACAGGAAGATCAGGGGACCTTAATGCTGCCCACCAGCCCTGAAACCAATCTGTGCGAGAAACTGTTGCACTCAGATCTGCAGGGCAGAGCACCAGAGCACATGTGGTGGAAAAGTGCTTTTGGCAAGGTGGTTGTGCAGAGGTGTTGCCCAGCTGGGGGGGTTCACGAGAATGATTGCAAAAAGTGTTAGCGGTTTTGGGGCGTTTGGGGCCAGGGGTTGTTCTTTTCATATTTCTATCGTATTGGTGGTTGCACTTCCAAAACCAGAAAGATGCGTTTGCACCTTTGAACTGAACTGGCACGTTTGCTTGCTTTTGCTGCCAGGTGATGACCGGACAAAAATACAGAGCTGGCAGATAGCGGACCCAAATGGACGGGTGGTTTGCTCAACCTTGGAATTCAGCGAACCAATACCGTACCAACAAACACAGTCCGTCCTCTCCCTGGCGAAGTGAACACTCTAAGGCCGCCGCTCAGCGGTTCCCCGAAGCGGTTCAACACCGCTGGTAGGCTACCTTGAGGGACGCTAAGCAGGCTGCCCGGCTACCCTAATTCAATTGATCCCTTCAGGCAGTCCCCTTTTGGAGAGCGTAGCCCAGCGTAGCCCATGACAGGATCACTTTGGCGACACGGCCCTGCACATGGCCGCCCGCTCCGGGAGCCATGCAATTGTCCAGCTGCTCCTCTCGAAGCTTAGCCAAAAGTGGCAGATTTGGCCCATAGCAACGGGACGGATGACGTAGGATTTCTCATGATACTGATCTGCATCTTTGGAGACAGAAGGCAGCTGAGAGGGAAGCTTGACACCGGCTTGCACGCTTGTTGAAGAGTCGCACCGTGTCACGTTCTGTCAAAGGAATGGCGCAGATCCCTCGCGCCGCAACACCTTCGGCAAGACACCCTTCGCTGTGGTGGGGAGGGGTGAGACAGTGGGCATCTGATGGGCTGGGGTGGAAAATCAAAGTCTGTAGCGGAACTTGGCGTGATAAGTCTGATAAGTGGTCAGTGAGTTGGCTCAAAACGATGACGCACTCACCAAAAACAATATATAACATGACGGACCTGAAAACCGTTAGTACACTCACCAAATCCTCATGACCTGCAACTCCACAACATTTTTTTTTGAACTTTGACCGTCACTCATGTGAGCGTGAATCAGCTGAGAGTCTACCTCGCCTTTCTTTCATGTTGGTGAAGGGATTTCGTTTGGGTTTCAAATTTTTCGGGTGATGACCGGGGCGTCTACAAAAACCAGCCCAAGGCATCGCACTCAAAAAGGTGGACATGTGACATGTGTAGTGTTCTCACTTCGGCAGAAATGGCGTCGAGGCCGAAATCAGATCGGACGCGAAACAAACAGAAGCGAACTCGCCCGATCGGTCGGAACTTCGCTCGCGGAGGCTTATCAACATGATCGTTCCCTGGCACAAGTACTCAGGGAAGCAGCTACCAAGAGCCGATAAAACGCGCGGATAGAACTCGCGGAGTGGAAAGAAAGGCTGGATTGTCCCGATGGTCTTGGTATTTTTCACACAGACAGGTCGGAGATGTGTGATCTTCGGATATTTTTCACCCACAAACTCTTGCTCGTTGTGCCGTTGTGCTCATTGTCCTTTGGCTTCGACAATCTCAGCGGCTGGATTCCATATGGGGTTGGGGGAAGGCAGAGACCACAGCCGTCTACAAATTCTTATACATTCTTGCTGAGAGGGCCCTCTTTAGCTTGATTTCTTTGTCAGCTCATGAGTCGTCACAAATCATGTGCTGTAGTACTACGGTATAGGACCTTCCGGGAGTTGCCATTCCCCTTGGCATTTTGCTGCCGTGGAATCCAGCAATCGAATTCGGGATCCTGAGAAGCTCTGCACCCAGCAAAGCAGCGGCCTAGGTCCTAGGATGTCCTAGGTTCTTCAAGAGCACTTGGTTGAACTTCTTTGGCCCACCTTCTGTCGTTGAAAGCAATCATTTTCAAGGCCTGAGCAAAGCTGCAAAGGCTCGGACGTGGCAGACTTTCTGAAAACGCTATGAGTCCTGGATTGGGCAGACACGCTCAACACGCTCTCAGGAAGATCTTTTTCTGCTTTCCGAAGTGCCTGTTCCAGGACCACCTCGTGCCCTACGTAACGATCTCAGGACTCCCGGTCCTTTTGTGCAGGTTTTGACTCTGCGACCGCGACGGTGCGACCGTGCGGAGGGATCCCCTCGTTGAGTGCCCACGTCCGAGGCCCCGAGAAGGATCCGGCACGAACTCGTGCCGCGGTCGCTTATGTTGCCTGGTTCGATTCGTAGCTCAAAGCATGGGAGGTGGAGACCAAGCCGGGCACATCGAGGGGAGCTCAGAGAATCAGACATTGGGCCATTGGGGTGGTATTTTTTAAATGACCAGGGGGCTTCCTCCAAGCTCTATCCCGGAATAACCTGGCAAACGCTTGGCTGCGTTTTGATGCTGCTTGGGCGATGTACCTCCACAATTGCAAAAAGGATGTTGGAGTAGGGTGCCCTTTGACTCATGCTTGGCAGGTAAAAAGCGTCACAATACCAGCACGAAGAACGATTTCCCCGAAATCAGTAGAACTCCTCTCTCAGTCAAGCGGTTTGCACCTGTGAATGGTGAAGAATGAAGACCAATCAGCAAGTAAACCTTCAGCGGGCAATATCATTGATTCAGATGAAAGATCAGACAAGAAGGGTGATGTCCAAGTCAAAACAAGTGTCTCCTCTCTTGGAGAGACGAGTTGAATGGACTTAGGATTTGTGCGTGTGTGTATGTGTGAGTCAAAATCGAGAGACGACCTCCCAAAAAACGGACCGTGAAAGAACACCCACAATTCGTGGCGGTCTCACATTTTATTTCAATGTTGACCGCACAGATTGCACACCCATCCCATCCCATCTCAGATGTCGTTTTGTCTCCCCTCGGTGAGCTCTGTGAAGACCGACTTCCAAAGTGGCCCTCCTGTGCCGGGCGTTGCAGCAAGGACCACTGGATCGAAACGGCCGGGGTGACACTGGTTGTGGCAAGAGAGATCCGTGGCGCATCGTGTGGACCGATCGATTCACCCGTGTTCAACGGCAGCACCTTGAAGAAGCATGTCGTGGGAGGCGCTCCAAGCCAGGATCTCACCGGTGGCTTTGTTTGCACGACCCGATAAATCACTTCGAACTGCCGACATCGTGCTTGGTGACAAAAAATGGGGATGGGAGTTGGGAGAGCGCAGGTCCTTGAAGGAAGGCCTCCGGACGGGTCGGTTCTGTGGCCCAAAGCCATTGAGCAAATCGGAGAAAAACGGCACCTTCTGTGTGAGCGTTTTAAAGACTACCAGAGTTGTCCAACTAGAAAGCAGGTGTATGGAGCAGGCTGGAAGGGTTGGTCCAATTAATAATATGTTCAACTTACACTTCCAGTATGATTTGTCTAAGGTGGCTGTAAAGAGAAGGCCAATTAGCTACTATGACCATAACCAACAAGTGCCTGATACAGAGGTGGCTTGTGTGATTTGTTGAGGTTCATGGCATTTCATTTGAGCTCTTCAACGTGTGTTCTGTCGCAATCCGCCATTTTGCATCCCAAGGCCTTCTGGCTCCTCGCTACGGCCTCAATATCCCACGTGGGGTGTCCCAGCAAGAATGAGCACTGTCCTGTTGTTTGGGTGGATGGAATGCCTCAGAAGGGCAAGATGTTACAGCAACTTCATGTAACTTCTAAGACGAAGGCCCCAGCACAAGAACGTGCTTGGTTGATGATTGCTTGTTGTTTATCTTCCACCCTCGTAGAATGTGAGACCGATGTTTGTTTGTTCCGAAGAAAGTTTCAGGCTCAAACAGCACATGGCCCCAATGTTAGGCTGCACGGCAAACTGCAAAAGGACCAGCAAATCCCGCCCAGCACTATTCTCCAAGTGTCACCTCCCAGCACAGAATTTGATAGCTAGAGTTCCAGAACAACAAGTACTTGTGGCATCTTGTGGCACAACATTCCACCATAGAGCTCGAACAAAAACCATGGGGCAAAGCAAGAAACACGCCCCCCGCACCAAATCCGAGACCATGTTGTGATTTGAAGAAAGCAACTCTCTCAGCATGAAACGGCCAAGAGGGCCGGGAGCGTTCGCCATGCCAAAGCTGCCTTTCAGCAGGCTGAGGCGTGGTTCGGGATAGGCCCCGGATAGGCACCGTCCGATCTTCGAAGAGCTTGGCCCAGTCTTTGTCACCAGCAGAACCTGCTTCACGACACTTCACGACACGCACCTGTGCAAAACCATGCCATCTCCACTGAAACTCCCCCCAACTTATTAGCAATTGAGCACCTCCCTTTTTTGCATGGACGTTGGAGGCCACAAAGGTGGGATGTGGCTGGAGGTTGCAAAACCCGTACCCCTTGGTCCCGTTGGAGGCCTTTAGCTCTCCTCGCCTTGGGCGTCTACTTGGACCTCCACCCGTCCTTCAGCCAGCCGCGATTGGAGCTCCAACTCGACAGGTGGGGCTACGGTGCAAGCCGAGATGGGTTGAAGTGGCCAGTTGCTTCCAGTTGTGGCCAGAGACCAGTGGGGCGCCAAAGAAGGGGAAAGGAACGTTGTTTCATTCACCATTACTGCTTCCGACCATGTGAGTTCCACTTCACCAGTTCCTATGAGGGTCTGGCATGCCCAGTTGAGGCTGGGGACCTGGGTCATAGACTTTGCACGAGAGAAGGTCTCAAACTGCTCTCAGCCTCGAACAGGCAGCCAGCTACACGAAGCACCAGCGAGGAGTGGTTTTCCTTTGGCATCTCGGACTTGTGCTTCCTGGTGCTCAGCTTGAAGAGCCTGGAAAAAGGGGTTGACTGAATCAGGAAGCCCATGTAGCTGCTCATGTGTTCGGGTGTACTTTGCAGACTCAGTTTCATGGGATGAACGCTTAGCAACTCAGTTGGAAGAACACGGGCGCAGTACATTTTTGAGGCAATTCTGTGACTATCGTTGGTGCATCAGCCAGTGAAGCTTACGAAATCTATGCCAACTTGCAGCTTGGCCTTGGCCGAGAAGAACCCCATGAACACCCCTGAGCACTGATGTGATGTTTCAATTGGGTTGTGCTCACAACCTTGCAGATCCTCACAGATGCCCTTAACTTAGAATTTAAAAGCTGCCGCCTTGAATGCTCCATGTTCGGAGGCAGAACCACCCTGAATGGTCTACAATGCTGTCGCGAGTTGCTCGGACTTAACGGTTTGAAGCTGGCCTGGGTGAGACGAGACAGAGGCAGCTAGAAGCTACCAGTAGCAGGGGCATTGCAGGCATTGCTACTAGCCAAAAGCTACTAGTTACTAGTAGCGATGCACTTGTTACTAGTATATATATATATAGCTTCTTATTAGTAGTAGTCAGGCACCGTGTTACTACTGTGAACGAAGTTGTAGCAGCACCTACCGCCCCATGCCATAGTTCCCAAGAGCACACCCGGTGTGGCGGCAGGTGGAGGTGCACAACAACACGCGCTCAAGCACGTGGTCGCTGCAGGCTTGGGTCTGTGCTGACATCACAGCAGTCCCATGCAGAGACGTTCATCAGTGATTCGGGGGCTCCTGTCGCTTGTAGAATATTTGACCTCGGAAGCAGCTCTGGAGACTGTTTTGTTGTAACTTGCATGCCTGTTGCAGCACCATTTGCAAGGCCTTGGGCTTCTCGCTCTCCTGGACTGCTGACATTACACGCCAGGTGCATGGGATGGCCCGTCAGCATGGCAAGATGCAGCCACCCCTTTGTGAGCAAACGAAGTGAAAGATCATAGAACATGTGCACGGACCAACCGAATAGAGCCGTGGCATCAAGAAGACCCCATGGCCAGAGGCTTCAAGGCTTCAGGGTGCATGCGTCTCTCTTTCGGTGCAGGTGCCTTCGCAGCTCATCAGCTGGGAAAGCACCAGCGGAATGAAGAACGCGGGCATCGCCTCCTTCCGACCGCTGCAGCGGGTGGAGGGCCAAGCGGCCTGTGAAGTGGAGGTGTGTCGGGAGGAGCCGGAAGCGGGGGGGACATGCGAGACGCTGGGGGGTTGCGGAGCGATGCGGATGGAGTCGCACCGGGGGGCAGGGGCCAAGTGGACTGGGAAGAGTGATGCGACCTGAAGCGTGAAGAAGCATCACCTGCAAACGAAGGTTTTCAATGGTTTTCTTGGCTTGGCCGATGAGTATATAATAGTATATACTGATGCATGTGTTGGGGCTTAACCAGGAACAGATTGTTGGGATGACACGATGATGCACGATGCCAGGTGCAGATGAGCATCAGAGCCCCCAGCTTCTTGAGGCCAAGTGTTCCGCTGTCGTCGTGGATGACCGGGGTCGGCTTTCTGCGTCTATCTTCGATGCATCCTTCGTCCCAAATGGTGAACAGTGCCTTGGAAGACCCTTGAAGACCCTCCGGGTTTCACCTCCCGTTTCACCCAACCGGAGTGAGGTTTTCACCTGCACCATGCATCTGGACTCCGCCACGCTCTTCCAGTCAGGCGGCTCTTCCAGTCCCGGCGCTTGAGCAGCTTAGCCGCCAGCGCCATCGGCAAGGATCTCGCCGGCTTCCGCCGTGTGGTCCTCACCCGAACCTCGGAGACTGGGGGGAGGCAGAGACTGACGGTTCGCAGGGGGGGTGGAGCTGGAACGTATAGAAAAATGAAGGGATTTTACAACAAATGCTGCTTTGGTCCCCCAACAGGGTCACATGTTGTGAGCTGGGTGAGCTTGACGACTTGGATGGCGAGCTTATCAGGGGGGGCGACTTGATGTCGCATCGTGAGCCTTCGGGCCAAGGAGCCGCAGCCTCTGCAATGGCAGGGCTCAGAACGGCGGTGACCAATAGCACCTACAAGGATAACCTGGGCTCCTGCCAGGTGGGACGGGTTCGGGGGAGCATGGGTAGAAATACTTCCTGAAATGCTGAGCGAGTATTCATCAAGTCACTGGATGGTCGTACAGTATTGCAATACCAAGCGAAGTAAGTACGTGGCTCAATTTTTGCTAAGTGAAGCTGGTGGCCATAAGATGCCAAAAAGTAGTTGAGTCATCCTTCACTCTACCCAAGCGGCCCAAGAAGTGTTTCGCCCAGGTGCTTCACCCTCGTCCCCCAGTAGTTTGTTCATGGAACTGTTCCACGTTGGATTGGGCAGGTCCTCGTGGAGCACGACGGGCACATCGAGATGACACTCTTTGGCTTTGGCACCAGCGACTCCACCCGAAAGCTCTTGGACGATTGTGCGCAGGCCCACGCGGGTGAAGGGGGTTTTCGGGTTTGAGACGGGCGAAGCATGGCGAAGCGACCGAACAGAAGGTGAAAGCCTCGGTGCTTTAGGTGGAATTCACATGGATTTAGACAGGTTTAGGCAGATTTGTGATGATGGGAGGGCAAGAAACAGCTGCTGTGTTCTTGAGCAAGTCCTGCCAAGGCCATGGGGCAGTTCGAGGAAGGGCGGAGATTTACGGCAGTGGTGGACATGACCAGAGGAGACTTGCCTGGCTTATTGGGGCAGGACATCCAGCCCATTGGAATTCGTGCATTTCCTGCTGCAAAACCCTCCAACAACCTGTAAACTAGACTATGACTATATATAGATCGATGCAAGAGTCCTTTGGAGAGTCCTTGGGAGGAAACTCTCCATTGACAACAGAGGGGTGCTTTCTGGAGCAGAGCCTCCTGGTTTTGGGCTCTTGGCCCGCCAGCCTTCCCAGGTATTGGCTGTTCACCTTTGGCTGTGCCAACCATTGTGAGCAGCTTGGCCCATTCTGATGCCCAGAAGATCCTAGAATTTGGCCTTTGCCACTGCTGCTTTCAATCGTTTGCTTGACTTGCGAGGGGTGCCAACAGGATCGGAGGTGGTGCTTGCCAACACTCTTGCGGCGGACATCAGTCGTCTCACTTAGAGCAAGACCAACTTTTGGTCCCCAGTTGGAGGCCATCGCTAGTAGGTCGGAGGCATTTGGAGGCCATTGCTATTAGGTTCCTGTTTCTACTGGGAGCAAAGGGCATCGCTACTAGGAGCAAGGATGCTACTAGTAGCTCCTGGCCTTACTACTAGGAGCAAGAAGCTATTAGGTTGGAGGCGCTATTAGGTTCCTTTTGCTATTAGCTATGCCCTGGACTGGCGGAAGATCCGGTTCCCTCACGCAGCTCAGTTCGCCCAGCGTGTTGAGCAGATAGAATCACCTCACTGTTGGCCCTCTTCTGAATACAAGCACTTTTGGATGCACTAGGATAGGATGCTACTTATTCCACTTCCAATAGCGGTCGTCTCACACAGAGAAACCTCGGGATGAGGTTGAAAGCCCGCTGTTGCCGGGCTTTTGACCATGGCCGTTTGACCGTTTGACTGTTTGACGACCTAGGCTTCTTGCAGCACCACGGCAGCAACATCAGCCGCACGGCGGTGCTGGGCCCACGGCCACTGATGGCCTTAGCGCAGATGATCTCCAAAGTGGTCCTTCGGCGGAGAAACGTGGAGAAACGTGGAGACATAGATGCAAAGGGTGATGTTGATGAAGGTGATGTTGGTCCATGTGCTTGTGTTGGCGGGGAATGTGGCGGGGAATTGTGCACGTATTCAGGTTGAGACAATGACCCATTAATACCAGTTCCAATTCAGCACTGGCTCCTTGAACATGTAGGAACGAAAGCATTAGTACGAGCGCTTCTTCAAGGAAGCTCCCCCCGCTGCCTTCAGGGGAAGCTCCCGTCCTGCATCCAAATGTAGCTTAAGTAGCTAGGAGCGAACGTCTCCCTTCAGTTAAGCCGGTGCTTTTTTTCTTAGGAGCGGGCTATATAATCAAAAGGAATATGTAAAGTGACTTCACGGTTCAAGGTTTCGAACTTTGAGCCATGCAAACCACCATCAAACTGCCCACAAGGCACGACAAGCGGGTGTGGCCTTCTTTACAGATCGATCAGAAGCAAATCGATGGTGTGCCGAAGAAGATGCCTGAGCCGGGTCAGTTGGTGACATCCAGATGTTCGGGATTCAGACCGGTCCGAAAAGACATCAGGGCATAAAAGAACCACATACTCGGTGGATGTTGAATCAGTCAGCCTTCACTTGTTCGGCATCAGTCAGCCTTCACTTCCAGCAGTCTCAACAGGTTTTCATGTTTCAACACTCTAGACTAGTGACTAGACCTTACCACCTGTCAAGACCCAGGACCTTCCCCTCATGACCCACGCAAGATCTGTTTGACAGGCCTCTTGTGCAAAGCCTTGTCATCCTTCGATCATGCGACTTCCATACAAACCTGTCCACCGAGAGAACGTCTCCGAACGCTTGGATCCGATTTTTCGAGAAGCGCCAAGACATTGCTGGCATGAAAGCCAGATAATTAGAGGCTGGAACTTTGTATGACAAACAGGCTCGACACAGCTTATTTTGGCTAGTTCTCAATAGGTTTCTTTAGCAACCTCTTTCTCAACAATCCCTGCTTGAGTGAAACCAGCCTAAAGTTAATCACTTTGGACCTTTGCATGTCGCTTGCCAAAGGCAAGGTCTAAAGTTTTGGATGCCGGTGTGGCCTTCCTTATTTGAAACGAGGTTTCTTCAAAGGGAAACTGTGCCCAGGCCAAGCCCAGAGTCTCAGATTGTGGTTGTGTAAGCGGGGCTTTTTTGGAGAGATGGAACATACACCGATATGTCACACACACACACACATGTATGATCCCCCTCGCAATTTCCCCTAAAGAATCAGACAACTCGGGTTGTCAAAAAGCAGGCCATTCTTTAGAGTTCACCACGCATTTTTTAGAGTGGCAGCGGAGTCTGATTCTTTAGAGATGCACTTTTTGCCACACGCTCGCGTCTTTCAGCCTGGAGATCAATGCCAATGGCATCCAATGGCAAAGCCTTTATCAAAAGTGAGCATGTCAAACATCACAATGTTCAATAATGATCACTCTTCAAACATTTTCCTATATTTGCCTCATCATCCACCATAATCAGAAGGTCGACAATGGTCGACAATCCAAAAACCTGTGAAAACTATTGAAAACTAATGTTTTTGTGTTTTTTTATTGTTTTTGCATGGCTTTGGGGTGAAAATGCACCAGCATGCTATTTCATGGGGCCTATCCCCCCAAAAAATCAGAACCCAGCCACGTGTCCCAGTCTAAAGAATAGGATGGCACCCATGGTCTAAAGAATCAGGTCCCATCGTCTAGAACTCTAGTTGGGCAAGGGTGTATGCAGGATTCCCCGGGAAACTTGAGGTTCTAATAGGGGAATGCCTGGGGGATCCTGGGGTGGCAGGATGCACCCTTGCCCAACCAGAGTTCTAGACGATGGGACCTGATTCTTTAGACCATGGGTGCCATCTGATTCTTTAGACTGGGACATGTGGCTGGGTTCTGATTTTTTAGGGGGATAGGCCCCATGAAATAGCATGCGGGTGCATTTTCACCCCAAAGCCTTGCAAAAACAATACAAAATCAAAAAGACATGAGTTTTCACAGGTTTTTGGATTGTCGACCTTCTGTTGTGGGGATTCTGGGAACTTGTGGGGTGGTAGGATGGTGGCTGGGTTTTGATTTTTTAGGGGGATAGGCCCATGATATCCCCCAAATGATGGTAACATGTGATCTAAAAATCAGACTCTTCCAGATGAAGATGAAGATTCATGACAACTTACCATTCTTTAGAGGAATATTGTTGCAAAGTGTATTTATATAGGGCATTTTAGGGCTTGATTCTTTAGACATGTACATCCCTTACACAACCAGTTCTAGACACTGAGATTTGATTGTCTAAGGTGTTATACCGTTACAGTCTTTTTGGGCGGATTGACTTTCTTAGCCAGATCATGTGGATAGTGGATAGATTTGAAGGGCTGAGCTTCAAATTCAGGCCCAAGCAGTCAACCCTTAGGACAACTTGGCGCCCGAAATCTACTAGGACGTAAGAAAAATTACGTCCTAGTAGTTTTCTTGATTTTTGAGGTCGCACAGATGCGAGTTATGACAAGTTTGAACATGTTTGGACCTATTTTGTATTAGATGGTAGATTGCCGTGATCATGGATAAATCCCTTCGGTTACAATCCTTCTTGAACAGTCATCATCATGGACTGGTACGTGTGTGGAGTGGGTGTTCCCATTCTTTAGAGGGAGTCCAGGTTCCAAAGACGTGTTTGCACTGTGCTCAACGTGTTCCGATTTTTTAGGGCCAGTGCCCAGTATGTGTTGGCAGAGTCCTGATTCTTTAAGCTACCATGTTGGTATGGGCACTGTGGATTCAGGATTCTTTAAGGTCGAAGCTGGCAGTGGCCACCACGGATTGATCGAACTATTATATGTATACAAATCCATTCATCCATCCTTCCTTCCTTCCTTCCTTTCTATCTATCTTGCTTTCTTTCTTCCTTGCTTATCTATCTATCGATCGATCGATCGATCCGTCCATCCATCCATCCATCCATCCATTTGCAGTCTGCATCCACAAAACACATGCATAGTAGCCGTCCCCTCAAGGGGTAGATGCTATGTATTGAGTATGTTCTGAGTGTTGTTTTTGCGTTCACTCAGGCGGCTCAGGCTTGGTCATTACGGGCCACGGCTTTCTTTTGAATGTGGATGTCGTTGCGCCACCAACAGCGGAGGGACGCAAGATCAACATCCGCAGACACGATGAGTGCGCCGATGGAACACCAAGCAGCCTGCTCGTCGGGTGGCGGAGCGAGGAAGTTCTTCGAACGGAGCGAATCTGATTTGTTTGCATTTGGAAGCACTAAGTGAGAAGGACACCCTTCACGGACGGGGTGTTCGACCAGTGTTCTGGGCCAGCTCTGAGCGCAGAGACCGCGATGCGCCGCAAACACGCTCCGCGCAACGCTCGAGGCCCAAGCGGCTCTTTGATTTGCAGGGCTCCTGGGTCGATAAGGCGTGGAAGAGGGAACAACTCGAACGACTGTGGAGAGAGAGAGAGGCTTGTTTGGGAGATGGCGCATGGTAGAACCAAAGATCTTGGGACCATTGCAAGCACAACAGCATCCGATAACCAAAGACAAGCAATTCTGCAAGCCTAAGGGCTTAAATATTCCCAGACACTCCATGCATGCCATATATGCCTACATTGACCCCCAAAACTCTCGCAATGTAGGCATATATGGCATACATGGAGTGTCTGGGATTTATAGTTTGTTGTGGCATCGGCCATCTCTTGGTCATTCTCGGTCCCGATTGCAGGAGACTCCTGTGGGGCAGATCCAGGGAGGCTGTGTGGTTTGGCACCCGTTGGAGCCTCGGGCGCTTGGACCTTGAACACTGACCTTCCAGTAGCAAAGGACGCTACGAACGGGGGCTCCTGGCCTTACTACTAGGAACAAAGGGCATCGCTACGAACGGGAGCAAGGACGCTACTAGTGACTATAGGGGCTCGAATCCTCCAACTTCAATGTCCTTCAGCTCATCGCTCTTCAGGTCATACAACTCCCGGCCCACGAGGCTGGTGGAGACCGACGAAGGCGCCAACTGCCGAGACGCTGCCAGGGACGGAACGGCGGACGGGCACGTGGTCCGAATGGTGCGGGAAGACGGTGATCCCCACGGTGGGGGGATCGTACCCAACAGGTCGTCTAGGTCAGCAGGATGCAAGATGTCCTATCATGTCCTATCATGTGCGTCAGAGCAGCTAAGACGAGACGTAAGCGCCTCACTTTGCCTTGATGGTATTCTGCGAGACAGACCGGTAGAGGGCCTTATCAATATGCGCATCCGCTTTTTGCTCTGCAGGTGGTGTGGAAATGGAGATGGAGCAGAAGATCTATACAGTCTCAGCCCAAGGAATTTTAGGACCTAAACGTGGCTTAGCAGCATGGCGTCCAGAATGTGCTTGTTTTTCTCATGTATAGGGCTAGCATGGACAAAGCATATTTTGGACAGATCCATATGAAAGACTAAGATGGGCATGCATCCCACAGTTCACCTTGCCCTCTACTTGTGAAGTTCTGATGCTGTCAAAGGGGCAAGAGAAAGGAAGGTTTACGACGTGCTCTTGCTTCACCATTTTCTACGCTCCCAGTGTTTCATGGTGTTTCAACATTGGTGGCGCGCTCGCATACGCGCAAGGCCACGATCGACTGGGGACCACCGGCCCAGCTTCGGTGGAGCGATGGGGAGGCGAACATGAGGGCGGTCTCAGGAGTCTCAGCGCCGGCACAGCCTTTGTTGGCCTAGATTCTAGATGGGCATCATATCCGTCGGGCGGTTCACTTGTCGGATCAGGCAGGGCGGTTCCCAGTTCTGAGTTGTAGGCCCAAATTGGTGACGGTTTCGTCGGTGAAGAGCGTGAGTGTGCCCAGTGCCAGGTTTGGTCACGTGGCGGCCTCAGGATCAAGCAAAAGCTCCCAGTGCAGTAGGTCCGGACACATCAAAAGTTAGCTAGGCAGAGTCTCTGCAGAGTGAATAGAGGTTGTAGCATGGAAACGGAAGGATTCAGTGGATTGGACTCACGCTGGCATGATCTTAGGATGCGAAGCTGCGCCCCAAAAGGATGAACAAAAAGAGCAGCTCCAGATGGCACAGCTTGGTGGGACCTGAATTCACACGGCTGGGCAGCCAGAGGTACCGCTGCTTTCCGTTTAGAACATCGGTTTCAGGTGCTTTTCGGCATTTTTTCGGCTTGCAGCTTGGAATCTCTGGTTCATTGACAGATCATCGATCCATGTTGATCCGTATGACACGATCAGGTCCCCTTGGACCGGCGAACGTGGGACGTGGTGCCAACATCGGCCTTTCTGGATGAACATTCGCATAATTGATGCGTATTGTACTTGCCCTTCCGTGCGGCGCTGATCATGAGCTTGGGACGCTGCTTCCTGGGGATTTCCCGGCTCCTGTTCGGGCCGCGGCCCAGCACACTGGTGCTGCTGCGGCATGGGGAGCGTGAGGACTACATGGCTGAGAAGGTGGGGTTGAGGGCCTGTAACAGATCATATTGGCTCTAATTCTGTGCTGCAAGGTGAAGAGCAAGGTGAAGAGCCCAGGTCTGTACAGTTGGGATGGGCCTCCACCCCCCAAACAAATATGTAGGTGCCCATTTGCCAAAGACACTGCTACCAGAACAGCAATGCAGACTCTTGATGAATACACCCCTCCAATTGAATTGAACATCCTCTTCAAAGGTTTTTTTCTTTTTTCTCATTCAACTGTCTACAGTACTGTTGCATTAGAACGCCCAGTAGTAGCCCAGTGACGTGGGCAGTCTACCACCTCCACGTCCACGTCTCGCCCGGTGCCGAGGCCGGACGCGGTGCCGCGTGGATCTCGGCGAGCGCGAGACCCTGGGACCCGCCGTTGGCGCCCAACGGACGGCAGCAGGCGCAGAGCGCGGCCACGCGCCTTCGACAGGCCGACCGACCCGGAGAGAGACCGATGAGGATGGGAAGTGGGTGATGCCTGCATGGTGTTATAGAAAGTTATTGTTCAGGCCAATTCAGGTCACAAAGAGCATGGTGTTAGGTGATCAGTGATGAACCATGATGAACCTGTCCATCTCTCTCTGGCCACCTTTCGATTATTCACGTCGCTTCGCGACGGTAACCGCCCGCACCGCATGGGAAGGCTCAAAGACTGCAGTCATGCTCCAGGAACGGGTCAAGGTAGGTACTTCCATTGAACATAGCCCCAGAAGTCACCCCCCCCAACGTGGCCGAACATAGCTTCCATATTGCCTAACATAGCGCTAGAATGTGGGAACGTTGCAAATTGGTGTATCTTTTGCGCAGGTAGCTCGAGACGTTCGCCGGATATTTGGCTCAACAGGAGCAGAGATAAGGAACGGTAACATTTTCCAACGAGGGCTCAAAAGGGACTGGACATTCAAGTCCCTATCTCGCGGACACGTCTGTTCGGTCACGTTGGGGGGGGGGCTTTATTCCAGTCCCTTTTGAGCCCTCGTTGGGCCATGTTTTGCCTTCAAGTCCCTATCTCGCAGACACGTCCGTTAGATAGTGACTTCTAGGGCTATGTTAGGCAATATGGAAGCTATGTTGAGCCACGTTAGGGGAGCCTGTTCAGCCCAATGTCTGGCCTCAGTCCAATTATGCTTTACCGCGCAGATGATTCAAATCATGCAAAGGAAGAAAATTGCATTTCTTGCATCACCAGGGGCTTCAGAATAGAACGAATTCATCTTCCAGCATTTTAAGCCGGTTCCAAAACCGTGAAAAACACAGGATTCTAGAGCGAAAATGCTCCCCCCTCTAGCTAAAGCTATTGGCTTGCCCAGGCTAGCTTACGTATACTGCGTGCCTTATAAAAACGCCTCGGCATTTCGTTGCGGGCGGATTTAGAGCTCCTGCCTTTGTTTGTCTTTCCATTGTCCTCTTTGCATTGGCCGGTTTCGGCCTGCGCTTTCCACCGCTCGCAGGTGCTGACGGCCGCCCAGTTGCCTCCGCCCTCGCGGATTTTCACCTCGCCGCTGGTGCGTGCGGTGGAGACGGCGGACTGGGCGGCTCGAACAGAAGTCATCCGAAACAACCTCCGTGGAAAGCAAGTACACTCCCTGGGACCTGAAGTGGAACGCAGGCCCCTGGAAGATCATTGTTCTCTACAAGGGGGTCGTGGTCAGCTTCCATGATTGTTGGAGGGAGGGTAATCTTCGCATGTCTGCACATGTCTGCACATGTTGCAGTTAGTCAAAGCACTGTAAAATGATATCGATATGATGCCCGTGCCACGATTGATGTTGGGCCTTTGTTCTGTATCCTTCGATATGTATACTGAGGTGGCCGAAGAGTTTGGCGTCGACTCCTTATTTGTTGAGGAGCTTGCGTTGCGCGAACATGAGTGTAAGATGTTCCTGACGTTTGACCCTCCAATTTCATTAACTTCAAACAGTTTAAATTGACAAAAAAGCGGTAGCCCAGACGGTGCCCTTACGGCATATAGCCTATGTAGTGGTATAAACTATATATATATATATAAACTATATATATATAATATATATATATATGGGAGCCGTTCGAAACCCCTGTATAGAGAAAACCTGTTTTCTTATACCACTCCCTGCCCCAGCCGCCCTTCGCCCGCTATTGGTGGTGCGAACCGGACTTCCGGTTGGACGCCGCAAGTCTGGAAATGCACGCGGCCCTTCGTCCGCAGCATCTACCCCTTACCTCTGCCCTGAACACACCTATCTCGCCCCACCCATCCTGAGGCCGCCGCCGAGCGCCCGACCTTTGACCAGGCCTTGGTGGCCCTTTGGCTCCAACGATTGGTGCTCAATGGTCCCTTCGCCGCACAGAATTTCCCCCCCTCCCTCTGCTCTCGTCCTTCCTTGCCTCCGTCCGCCCTCGCTCCACAGGTGAAGGGCTGCTGCCCTGTTCCTCGTCACCTACGAAAGCTGCTGTGGCCGCCCAAGCTTTGATTCCATCTGCTGTCATTGCCGGCATGCCATTGCCCAATCCCGCCTGCAGCAGTGTATCCTCTTGGCTGCAGCAATCGCGCGGTCCCTCCCTTTCCTGCTCCTTTTTTGCACTCTTCTTCTCCACCGCCTGCAGGCAAGTACCGGCAGCACCAGGGCCAAAGTGGCGACTTTGAAATCGGCCCTGTGGCCAGAGCTCTGTTGACCGAGCTCGTCAACCAAGGTGCCCCACCGCTCCGCCCCTCCCCCTCCCCGTTTCTGCGTGTTTGCGCAGGTACTTTCCAACGCGTGGCTGAGGACATCATCCGGACAGACCCGACGGAGGGGGCCATGCGCACGCTGCTCGCCGAGCTGCATGTGCATGGCCCTTTCCTCCGCTACTTGATGTACCGCGACCGAGGCGCGGCGGCGCCCCGCCACCTGTCCTGTGGGTGCTCCTTCGACTCCTCTGCTCCTCTCTCTGCTGCAGGTCTGGATCCCCACACTACCAACCTCCAGCTTCGTGGGCGACGGTGCGAAGGAGGTCGGCGGATTGTGCGCAGGGCCTCGGCCTGGATGAGCCAGAGGAGCAGCTTGCAGAAGTACACCGTGCCTTGGCACTCCCACTTTCCGTTCCCTCAATGTCTTTTTGTATTCTTTCCTATTCATGAGAGTAAAGAGACAGGGTGTGTGGGCATAGCCACGCGCGAGAAAAATTGATAGGTTTGGAGTAGCTGAGTAGCTAAGTCGCTGGCCAGTTAGAGTTAACCATTCACTGCAGGGTCATCTAAACAACCAGGCAAAAGTCAGTTTGCGCTTTCCTTGATCAAACAGCAATCTGCTGCCCTTGTCGCTTCAGCTCACAGGCAAAAGCTCTGTGAGGGTGGCTGCGGGGAGCTTGGCATATATATATATATATGTAGCACATATATATATATATAGTATATATGTTAGTTTATAACACGCTCTTATGTTACGAAAGCCAGCCGATAGGCTAGGCTTGAGCTCTTAGAGCGAACGAAGTGAGTTAAGGGGGTGTGGGAGGGCTTTTCGGTCTGCGAAAAGGCACAATTTGAGAGGCTGAGCCCGGAGCTTGCTGGGGGAGAGCGCTCCAAAGCGAGGGTCAGAAAAGCAGTGAAAATGGGGTCTGGTGATGCGAGTGATGCAATGGCCGAGTAGTGCATCATTAGCATCACGAAGGGCTGTGGAGGCTATTGGACAATGGGCATTGAGCACTGGAGTGGAGACAGGCATCCTAGTCTCTACTATACTTGTGCCGTTTCCTCGTCGAGCAGATGCTTCTCGCGGCGTCCACGTGCGCCGAACGTTGTTCCGGCTTGGCCGCGCAGCTAGATAGATACAGAATAGATTGATTGATAGATAGAGCTGGTTTGATAGATAGATAGATAGATAGTGGAAGAAGCAGGGCTTGGCCGAAACCGTGTCCCAGAGTGGCTAGTGCAGGAGTTTATATACACCAACCCTGGAAGTCCCATACTGATGTGTAAAACGCTTGGTTCAATAGTGGCTGTGCAGTAACGGCTGTGCGGCTATGTTCACAGTGGTGGCTCGACTTTTCGGGTCAATACAGTCAATGCACGGTTTGGCCATTGGCTCTTGTGGAACCATGTAACCGTTTCGAGCTTCGGAATCCTCGTTGTGCGCACTTGCACAGGCAGCAAGATGGTTCTGGCAACTCCCTGGGAACGATGAGGCTAGCGAACCTAACGCGCGCGCACCAAAACCTTGGACATCCTGCGCCCCATCGCTTGAGTCAAGGATATCGACATGTCCTGGCCAAGCATGCGCGGCCGGGCAATTTACATTCGTTGTTGGACTTCAATTAAAAAAGCTATATAGATGGTATTGACTGGACCGGCAAAGCAGGTAAAACATACCCTAGTCTATATAGTGGCTGGAGGCTTTGTGAGCGAACGAAGTGAGCACTTTTCTTGCGCCGGACGGGCTGCTGGGAACGGTGAGACGTCAGCGTGCGCGTAAAGGTATGAGGCTAGTTGGGTACGAACCTAAAGCGTGCGCACCAAAACCTTGGACATCCTGCACCCCATCGCTTGAGTCAAGCTCTCAAGGTTATAGTCGCGGATCTATGCAATATTTTTGGATGACGGTTCGCGCAATGCTGAGGCATATAGTTCCTGCCATCCTCCTAGTCATCCTTTCAGAGAAGTCTGGTTGGATGCATTGGTGCTAGTATGGTAGTTGGTTGGCAGCGACAAGTTGCTATCAGAAAGGACCCTGTGTAGATAGCAACTTCTCTGTGGTTTATGTCTCTATGTTTTCTGACTCTATATCTCTATGGTTCTGTGTCTCTATGTCTCTGGGAAGAGAGGTGTAGCCGCGACGCATCAGTGGCATAAGCGCAAGTAAAGTCCCCAACAGCACGAAGCGCCACTGAGAAAGTCTCTTCGCTGTCCAAGCCCTCCTCTGGAGCCTTGTCTGCTGTGGAACCTGCTCCGGGTGTCACCAACCGTCATCCAAAAATATTGTATAGATCCGTGACTATAACCCATCCTCAAACAGCAATCTCTTCACCACCAAGTTGCTATCTACACGGGCCCCTTTTCTGCTCGTCGCTGCCAACCAACTGTCATACTGGCCCCAATACATCCAAGCAGTTCCATGTTGAAGCAATCATCATTCCCAACAGCGAAGCGTAGGGGTCTTCTGCCATAGGAAAGACTTCGGAGCAGACTCAGAGCGAGCTTCGGAGCAGGTTCCGGACGAGGTTCCGCAGCGGATCCGGAGGAGGTGCGGCAAACGGTTCCGGAGCAGGTTCCGGAGAAGATTCCGGGGCAGGTTCCAGAGAAGGTTCGGGAGAGGGTTGCGGGGCAGGTCCATATAAGGTTCTGGAGGCATATAGTTCCTGCCATCCTCCTAGTCATCCTTTCAGAGAAGTCTGCTTGGATGTCTTGGGGCAAGTATGCTAGTTGGTTTGCAACGACAACTTGCTCTCAGAAACGGAGCCCGTGTAGATAGCAACTTCTCTGTCTTTTATGTCTCTGTGTTTTATGCCTCTATGCCTCTATGGTTCTGTGTCTCTATGTCTCTGGGACGAGAGGTGTAGCCGCGACTTATGGTTATATGTTGGGCGGACCAGTGGCATAAGCCCAAGTAAAGTCCCCAACAGAACTGACGTTTCTTTTTTCCCGGGTTCTCAAACAGACCACCAGCCAAACAGGGACGCTTCAGAGAGCACCGCGCCAGGAAAATTGAGAAAGCCAAAAACATTCAACACTTCATGCTGTGTTCCGATCTTGATCTACTCCACGTTGATACAAGCTCCACGAAAGCTACAGGCATTCAACAACAAGTGCTCCGCTATTTTTCTTCCCAGTCTTGCATTACCATATTGGTCTCTCGCTGGCTTTCGTCCTCTCCTTTCTCAGGTCTTACACAAGGAGACTGCTCACCGAGCATTCGGGTGACACTGCGCTACGGCCACCATCTCCTGAAGGTACTAGTACTAGTGTTGCGGTATCCTTGCGCAGCTTTGTCTCATTCAGTATCCCATAATTTTTGGACAATACTGTGACGCGAGAAGAGGCCTTCTGCGCTTTTCTTGGGCCATTGAACCATAAAACTTGATTTTGCGTTGCTTTGAAGCCCTGTGCCGCACAAGCGCCCAGCATCGCACGTGCGCGGGGCAAAAAACGCCCATGAAACTCACTTTCCCGATTTCCGGCTTGACAAAGTCCAGCCCATGACACAGAAGCGTCCCAGAATCAACTATAGGATTGTGTATTAACGGGAGCAGCTACCACACTTTCTTTCAAAAGCCAGTACGTAACTGCGTGGGTCCTGGCAGAGCCTTAGAGAAGGCCCTTTTGAACGACATCAGATCTGGTTCGGGGCTGAGTGCTTTTGTGCTGAGTAAACTACATTGGATGTAATTCTTTGCATCTTGCCTTCCAGGTCACTACGGAATCACAACACAAGCAGGAGAGGTGTGATCGGATTGGGTGCTGGGAAAGAGCTTGAGTGTTGGTGCACCTTGTTCGATTCTAGGCCGCTGTCGGAAAGTGACTTAGAGACCACTCAAGACTTGCATTTGTGCCCACCTGCTCCGATTACGTGCCAGCATACTTTCGGCTGGCGCCTGAGGGGTGCGCACCGTCTCAGCCATTGACTGCCACTGCCTCGAAAGCTTGGATACGTGATTTGGGTTTGTTGGCAGCCTCCTACATCGCCATCCCCACGGTCAGTTGTTCCGGACTCTTGCTCTGGTGCCACAGGTGTCGGTGAGCCGCGTGAGACTGAATGCCCTGCCACAGCCAGTCCAGTCTACTGACGACGACGACGACTACTACCACCTACTACTACTGCTGCTGCTGCTGCTGCTACTATATATATACTACTACTTTGGCCATTTCCGGCCCCGGCGCTCCACTTTTTCTTGCTAATATTAAAGCAATTAGAACAGTCAAAATATGCGAAAACCCTCATAGGCGCAAGAAGGCGCAAGGGCGACCGCAAGGGCTTTTCAGCCTTGTGCCCTGCAACCACATCAAGAACGGCCCCTGTATATATATATATAGTATTTGTGAGCTACTAAGCTGTATTTCAAACCATGCATATACATTAAGTATTAGACGAATATTGTTGTTTTGTTGGGGACTCTGAGTCTATTCAGCAAGAACTTGTCAGGAAGGCCTCACAGAATCGGCCTATGAGCAGTGGATGAGGCAGGTCCTATTTCCAGATGCCATCGAAGAAGAGTATGTGGACTTGCCAGAAAAGGGATATCAAGTTTGATATGAAGCAGATATGGTGTCCAGATATGTCCAGAATGCCCTAAAAAAGGATCGTGAGGACAAGCGGTCCCAACTTCTTTCAGCCCGAAGCGGATGAGGACGGGACCCGGAGCACCCGCTTATCGAGCTGGTCGCTTCGTCGCTGAGGCAATGGGCGGTTCCGGGTGCCAACTCCGATTGGGGAGGGCCGCCCTCCTGCGGCATGCCAAAGGCACGCCGCATGCGGTTCCGATGCGCCAGTTTTGTGGGATGAGCCCTCCACGAAGAGGACCATCAAACAATCCAGACAAATAAATACCGCTAGCAGAGCATCGTTTCCAACACAAGAAGCCACAATACACATTATTCTATTGATTTTAAGGTCTATCTCCCAAGTCTAATCCATTCATATTCCCATCCACTGGCATCAGGAATTCTTCGGATCAACACCCTTGCAGGCACCTCACACCCCGTGCCTCACGCTTCGTCGTGCTTCGCGCTGGGTCAGGTGCAAAGCCGGGCGGAGCGCTCCGTGCAGGGCACGCCGGTGCGGCACGAGGAGTTGAGACCGGAAGCACTGGAAGGCCACGGAGGGTGCCGGGCCATGGACGGTGAAGCGTCCGAGAACTTTTCGGTTGGATGAGTTCGCTTTTGGTGAATGTATGTGGAGTTGAGGTAAGACGACGAGATAAGGAAGGACAAGGAAGAGTTCAGGGAATGCTTTGTTTTCTTTGGCGTGGGTAGAGTCTAGAGGTCGGTAGGTGTCCCGGTGTCCAGCCTTCGGACCATTCATTCCCAAGCAGGCTTGCAAGCACTGCTGCTGACAGCTGCTGAGCTCAAGGAAGCAGGTTGGCGCCGTGTGGATGAGAATTATGCCAGTTATGTACCTGTCCGTGCGGCTTGGCGGAACCCGGGTTGGGTGACGGGCGGCTTGGAACTAAGTGGCTCAGCAGTCGGGAGTCCTGGGAGATGCCTGTCCTAGATGTTTGGAAGAATTGCCTGAACTGGCCTGAACTGTTGAGGTCAGGTGTTGAACGTGCGAGGTCAGGCAGTTTCCTCCTGACGATCTAGGACACAGACATCTCGGCGGCGAAAGCTGTGCCCACGTAACGGTCGGACCACCGATCCTGAAAACGACCTCGGACCGCGAAGGGAACGCCCTCACACCTGGTGCCGGTGGGTGCCGAGGGGAAGGGATACCGCTGGGGCCACTTCGAATTCCAAGAGGAGGTCATCCAGCGGTGCTGTGCGGCCGTCTTACGCCTGCTGGAACGACACCCTCAGGTGGGCGAAGGGCCGGTCTGGATCGCTAGGTTGGATGCATTGGGGCTTGGGTAGATGCCAACCGCATTTGGCATGACTCAAGTTTGTCCTTCACATGCAAGTGACCAAACACATTCACATGATCTTCGATTGGGAAGGCGGGCTTGCCAGTCGCCACTGGGGCGACCAGGAGAGCCTCGCCAGGAGACCTTGGTCTTTGTCTCTCACGGCGGCCCCACGCAGTACTGCTTCAAAGAGTTGTCCGGTCAGAAATACCGAGGCGGATCACGGACGCCGCGCCGGGGTCAAGGACGGGAGTGTTGCACCTCGGACTCCGGACCTCTGTTTATGGGTGTGAGAGTGGAAGCTTCCATGTTCTTTTCTTCCTTTACGATCTTCACGTGCCAGCCATATGAACATGCAATTGATCAACATACCATACCTAAAGGGTGGTGTCAAGGGCTAACATGCGCATATGGAGAGAAGACAGTTGGGATGCTGCACCTGAGATCATCTCGTCCTTGACTGCGCGTTCCTATTTTAAGACACTCGTGGCATTGGATCACATCAAGTGAGGGACTACACATAGCCTTGACCTTCAGGCTGTAGGTTCCACTCACCACACCTGAAAGACCGATTTCACGGACACAGCCTTCCGAATCTTGGGGCAAGCCATGACACCCTTCATCCTCACATCTGCTGAAGTGTGGAAGTCGGAGTCGCCCATCATTTGCCGTCCGTCAGGCAGCTCTGGGATGTGCGCCATGTCAGTGCTCAGCCGGAAAGGTCAGGAGCCCTGGCAGGTGCTGCTGGCCAACGATGCTTCGCACGCGAAGGCCCCGCCTGTGGACTCCAAGCGGTGGAAGGAGTCGACTGCCAAGATACCAAGCATTCAAAGCGTGTGATGTGTCGAGTGAGTCTGGTTTGCGAAGCTTGCTCGAGTTGCAGCAGTGAACCATAGTGAACCCCTTGTCAAGGCTGACATTTGCTGTTTCAGGTGTATGCGCATGGTGAAGAAACGACCATTTGAGCGAGGAAAGAGTGCACGAGGCTTGCGGCTTGCGTGTCGGCTGGGGCCAAGAGGGTGGACGTGACGGCATGATACGGCATGATACGGCACTCCCCGCCCAGCCATGAACTTAGAAGATCACGAGCCTCCCTTCATTTGCAAACAGGGGCACGTTTGTGCAGGGCGAGTGTGAGAGGACTGAAATTTGCTTGGGCTCGCCGCAGCTCGCCATACGCAGCAAATTTGGACTTTTGCTTTGTGTGCATGCTTTGTGTCAGGGCCATTGTGACAGGCTGCAGTGCTCTAGGGACAAGTTCTTGAGCTGTCATCATTACATACAACCTTGCAATTCACTCATTCATCCATGAACCCCTGCTAGACACGGAGAGCAAATGGGGAGCCCATGGGAACACGCGACTGCTTCCCTTCCCGCATTTCACCGACCATGTCGACTCCGCTGCAAGCTGGGCGATTCAATCATGAAGACAACAGAAGCCTTTGAGAGCCAGGTGCCGAGAGACGTAAACGTGGCAGGGATACTGCAGACGTCGTTGATGTGTAGACTTGACCGTTGGAGCACTGGTTTTGGCATGTAGACTTGACCGCATGGGGAATTCACGACTTGATTCGGCCCTGAGGTCTATGGAGCCTCTCTGCCGCCAGGACCTGCTTTTAGCTCTCGCTTCGATGCTTGCAAAACGATCAAAACACATTTGGAGAGGGTGATGGAGAGAGAAATCGGTTATTTGGGACGGGATCTTCTTCCCCGTGTCACACCGAGACGTGCCCACTTGAGCTCCGGGTCAAGCTAGTAGGTTCAAGGCCATTCCTATCAGTACATGCTTGCTTTTAGTACATGCTATTACTGGCTATTACTGTAGTACATGTCTGACTCTTTCGCTATTAGTACTAGTAGAAACAAGTGCATTGCTACTAGTAACAAGTGCCTTACTAGTAGTAACAAGAAGCTACTAGGAACAAGTGCATCGCTACTAGTACATGAGCTTCGGGTCCCACTCGTCGACGGGAGCGACACCGCGGTCGCGAGGAGCCGGCCAAGCTCTCCGAGCGCCGAGCGGAGACCCGGGCCTCGGCGCCGGGGGCGCCTAGAGTGGTGCGGAGTGCGGTTTTGTGGTGATATTCGTATAACATGATATAACTACATAAACTATGTTTAACTAAAAAGTATAAGCAAAGCATAGCATATATGAAATGTATGACTTTTGTGCTATTACCTAAGATGTGATTGGGGCTTGAATTTGGATGCATGTGACACTGAGCATGACCGGTCTGCAGCTTTTTTTTGCAGTCAGTCCAAAATTTAGAGGCCCGACTTTCTTGAACAATGGCGCGCTCTGGTGCTCGCATGTTGGCCATTGCTCTCGCGCTGGCAGTTGCAGCGTGGAGCTATGACAGCCTTCGTTCTTTCTGTGGCAACTTTGGCTTGAGCACTCGGCAGCCAGCAACTGCCTGCAACGGATGGCGCTTGGACAAGATGGAGGTGGGTCCACGCGGCATTGGACAGCTTGTGGTTGCCGAGGGTTTCTTCATTGGTGAGAAGGACATGTTCAAGGTGCTGAACAAGCAGGGCCGCCGCTACCGCCTTCGCCCAAGTGCTGAGGATCGCAAGGCTGGAAAGACCGTGCCAGGCATCTTCCAACTCGGACCTTTCAAGATTCACTTGGAGCAGTGCTTCCGTGGTTCAGGCGGCGAAGTGGATGAGCCTCCTGTTGAGGGCTACTCTGGCAACGGTGGCATGGCTGGATGGGCGGAGGACCTCCCTATCAAGAAGCTCGGCTACGGCCGCTGAGAATGGTGCCGCTGAGTGGTTCCATTTTTCCTGTCAAGCAGTGTAGCCGGATGCGGGGTCGCTAGCAGCGAGCCTTTGCAGAAGGGAGTCGGAAAAGAAGCGGCAATGAAAGTCTTGACCGCTTGACCTCGATGTGCGGTTTGACATGGCACGCCGTAATATTAATCAGTAGATAGCCAGTCTTCAACCTTATCATCCTAATTGTGTTCCGCACGCTTGCAGGAAACGCTTGTATATTGGTGTTGGTGATCATTTCAGTCACTTGTTTGGATTTGCAGCCTCCAGACTCCAGACCCTAGAATTGTCATGTCATACCACCGTGCACGGTCTGCAGCTTTTTTTGCAGTCAGTCCAAAATTTAGAGGCCCGTCTTTCTTGAACAATGGCGCGCTCTGGTGCTCGCATGTTGGCCATTGCTCTCGCGCTGGCAGTTGCAGCGTGGAGCTATGACAGCCTTCGTTCTTTCTGTGGCAACTTTGGCTTGAGCACTCGGCAGCCAGCAAGTGCCTGCAACGGATGGCGCTTGGACAAGATGGAGGTGGGTCCACGCGGCATTGGACAGCTTGTGGTTGCCGAGGGTTTCTTCATTGGTGAGAAGGACATGTTCAAGGTGCTGAACAAGCAGGGCCGCCGCTACCGCCTTCGCCCAAGTGCTGAGGATCGCAAGGCTGGAAAGACCGTGCCAGGCATCTTCCAACTCGGACCTTTCAAGATTCACTTGGAGCAGTGCTTCCGTGGTTCAGGCGGCGAAGTGGATGAGCCTCCTGTTGAGGGCTACTCTGGCAACGGTGGCATGGCTGGATGGGCGGAGGACCTCCCTATCAAGAAGCTCGGCTACGGCCGCTGAGAATGTATCAGTACCCTGGAATGTCAAACTCTCAAGGCATTTTCCTACAACGCCTCGGTTCAGACTGCCAACTTCATGCCTGCGCGTGAGTGAAAAGGGATGGTCCAATGGTTCAGTTCAGCTTTGGAGCATGGTGCAAGATCAAGATGTGGAATCCTCAGAAGCTCATTTGAACCCTCTAAAGGATCCAACGGGCTCCTTTGCAATTCAGAGCAGAATCGGGCAAGGGCGGGGGCACTCGGACCGACTGGGACTGGATCGATTTGGTCCAAGGCTACGAGTGGAGATTGCGGTGGGGAGCCTTAGCTTGGAGGATCCCCCTGGGCGCCTTGGGGATCCACCTCGGTCTGCCAACACAAGACGGACCGGCACAACATGGAAACGATCCTTAGGGATTGGCACGCTGTTTGCAATGGGTTTTTGCACAAGTCATGCGTAGGCTTTCCCAGTTTGTGCAGGTGCTTTAGTCTGCAAACGGGGTAGTGTTACAGTGTTGTTATATACTTATTCGGCTCATTCTTGTGAAGCTATGCCGCACTTTAGCTATATGTCCACCCCTACATCCGCTACATCCCTCTTGCGCAAGTCGGAGCTTTCTGAAAACGACTCAACTCGGAGCTTTTTGAAAACTCAATTTGAAGACAAGAGCGTAGGTGCCGAAGATGTGGATTTAGCAGCTAAGAAGATACACGAAGAAGATGCACTACTTTTCTTTTTGGGATAGTCCGCCTCATGAGCCTTTGGCTTGTGGTCAGAAGATCAGCTGACATTCCTGAGGCTTGGCAGCTGCAGGAGTCAAGTTGTGGGAGTTTGCTATTGAGCACATCACTCATAACCTACACTTTTAGCAGGCTTGGTTTAAATTTACAAGATGCAAGGGGTGTGGTTTGGGTCGAGTCAACACCTTGCACATTCATGGCAATCCTGGATTGAAGGACCGTTTGTTTGAATATAGTTTGAGTACTGTACGCATTTCTTCACCTATACCTTAAGATTGGGATTCCCAACAAGTCACAGTCTTCCAGCCAATTCCGGTTTCTTGCTTGAAAAGATGTTTAAATATCTGCAGTCATCTATATTAAACCACCAACTGGATCAAGAACCGGACCATCCAAACGGCCGCTGCCCCCCAGGAGAAGCGCCTTTCTGCAGAGCAGACCAGCGAGGCCGCCGCCTGCCGCCGCCTGCGCGAACGCTTGGCATCCGAGGAGTTGGGCCGCAGCCGAGCGCAGGAGGCTCGGAGGAGCACGTCAGGGACAACCTGATGTTCACCACGAGTGAGTTGGCAGGAGAAATTCGGTGACTTGGCCTATGCTGTTCACGCCCGTGTGTCCCGCGCCCCCCCCAAAAAACACGTCCAACGGGTGCCCAACACTGCTCTTTTTCTTTTTCTTTTTTGTTTTTCTCTCTCTCTCTCTCACATCTATAGGACTAAGTCTTTTTGATTGGGTTTGAAGATTTTGAAGCAACGTGGCCATGGGAAGATGAGCAGTGTTGCCATGTGTTGCCCCACGCCACCGGCGTCACCCCGTGAAGGCTGCCATTGACGAGCGTCGGTCTGAAGCTTGGGCGGCGCAGCGGTCCCTACAGGTGAGTCCGTGGAATGATGAGCTGATCCGTTGAACGCGGAGTGTCAATGGATTTGCCCTTCCTTGTCCTTGACTTTGAATCTTTGAGTTGGCTACTTCTTGAGAGAAGATGTTTCTGGGGTTCAGTTCCTTCTCAGGCCATGTTTCACTTGGAGGGATGAACGGTATTCACAGTTTGCTATTGGGAACGCATTCCATCCCGGACCTTTTTTTCATGAAGAGAGGGGGGGGAAGAAGTATGAATTGCCACTACGACGACTCGCTTCACGTCCGACCACCGATGCCAGGTGCACCACGGCCTGGCGCGCGCGAAGCGGGCCGCGGCGGAACTGCGGCAGCTGTGGCGGAACTCGGTGGACGAGGCCGAGCGGAGAAGAGTTGGAGTCAGATGGATGATAGTATGGATGATATGAACACTGGTTCCTGGCAGTTCTTTTGTGTTCTTTGCCTTGGGGATGGGATGCCAAGCGTTTCTTTTTGGGTGGGGGGAGGGCCAGTGCAAAGCCAGTCGGCATCTCAAGGTGTGTCCAGGTGTCCTGGTTTCGACCCATGTGAAAGGTCTCACATCTCACGTGTGAAAGCAGCGCCAGTCTGACTGAGTCAGGGGATGCACACTGAGCCAGAGAAGCAGGAGGCAAAGAGGGGGAGCGCTTTGGTTTGCTTTTTTTGGTGGCCAGATCTAACAACTGAGTATCCTACTGAGGCCAGTTAGTTATAGTCAAGTTATAGTTAGTTGAGATTTATGTAATTAACGGAATACAACTGCATGAGTGTGTGTAGTATATAGTGTAGAGATAGGATCGGGATTCAGTAGTAGCCACCAGTCAGTCTGAGATTTTTGTTTGCCCAACAAGGAACAAACCCATGCCATGCCGTATCAAATGACCACCTCCTGCATGCCGGAGACTATCCCACCGTGTGCCGTGCGCCACGTGACCGCCACGTGACCGCCACACCTCGGAGGATCTACGACAATTGGAGTTGGAAGAACGTGAAGCGGAAGTCTCTGCTTGGTGGCCCCTTGTCCTATCTTGTCCTCATTGTTTTGTTTTTTTTGGCATTTCTTAGTGGCCTAGGTAGATCTAGTTACTAGTTGCACTGGAACCATTCTGGAGCAGATGTTTGCTTCGCTACTGGTTTGGTCTTTAGATAGCTTGAACACCGGCAGGATGTTGAACTTCTGCACATTCCCCGTGAATCCGTCTATAACATGATGCTTCTAGCAGCCTTTCTCCCTGGAAGTCGTAGGAGCTTCTCACCACACTTGACCGCACTGGCCAGCCACGGTTGTTGATCAGAGTTGTTCATCTACACCCGCCAGGTCGCGAAAACGCTTGCAGGCGCGATAGGGGGTAACAGACTAAGGAAATTCCGACTAAAGAACAGAATGTACAGTGATGTCGAAGGGAGTCCCTTTGGTTTCGCCAATTCGATCGCAGGACCTGCAACGGGAGGTGGAAGACCTGGAGGAGCATCGCCGCGCGGCGAACCGACGAACCGGGCATCGGTCGGAACCGGTGGAACGGCGGAACCTGTCGCGTCGCCTTTGCCCCGAGTGATCGGAACGGGGAATCTCATGGACCTTCTCACATGAACCTTGTTTCTACTAGCTTCTTGTTACTATAGTAGTAAGGCACTTGTTACTAGTACCTTCTCACATGAACCTTTTTTGTTTACGGCCCCCGGTTTGCTTGCACGTCGAGCAGGTATAGGACAAAACGAGCCGTCGAGCAATCAGTAAGCATCATTAAGCACTGCTGAGGGGTGAGACGTTGGGTGTCTCCACCTGCAGGATGCCTAGAGGCCTAGAGTAGCCTTTCTTATCTGCCCAGTGAGGTCATGAGATGATGGCAGAGAAGCAGCTGCTGCGTCTCAAGGAGGAGGAGTATACTCAGCAACTGACGCATGGCACAGCAAAAATGGCACAGCCTGAGGCAGCGCAGACTCAGACTGAACGGGCCAAAGAAGGGACCACAAGACCAGCGCCCCACGGGTGACGTGACGTGCAGAAGCCGGGTGAAGAGAGCGCCACGACTCGCTCGATCCAAGGAGGGCCTGTCAGGTCGAGGCAGAGCGGGTGGCGGTGCAAGAGGAGAATGCCCGAGTGGAGCTGGTGCCACGGCAGAGACGAAGCGGCCAAGTTCTTTTGGGAATAGGACATTGAACAGGGTTCTCTCAAGACGTGAAATGAAGTGAAGGAATTCAGCTAACCTTGACTTGCAACAAATGGGTTGAGAGGACATGCAAAGGAGGCAACTTTAGTGTGCTCCATTTCTGCATTTTTTGTTGAAAGTCAAGGCCAGTCAAGCATTGAAATTTGATGGACAAATGTCCAAGGTCCAAGGTTGGAGGCCCCAAGCCATCAAGGTTGGAGGCCCCAAGCCATCGCATGCAGCACATGGAACTGTCGACCTCTCACCAAGCACCATACAAACTTCTGTGAGACTTCCAGGTCTTACCCTCCCCGCCTCTTCTGCGAAATCTGCGTTAGTGACCAAGGTGGATAACACCCGCCACTACATGTCGCGGGCGAGGCGCAACAGGAGCCACCAGGGAAACTGACTAATCTCTTAATTCGTTTCCCTATGTTTCCCTTACTTTCCGTTCGCACGCGGGAAGTTGTTCACAAGGAAGAAGTAGTGCTAATGGAAAGGTGAGCAACAGTATGTCGTGTGCGGCTTTGACACATGTTTATGCCCCATCCACGCGATGCGACGAGGAAACTCGTGGAGCAGCTGCGACGCGACGAGGCAGTGGCGACGTCTACCCCCCTTTCCCTTGACGAAAGTTTTCCAAACGACAGTGTTCGCCTGCATGAAAAGCCTGGAGCATTTTGGAGTTATGGATTCTTGACTTCTTGACGTGCCAGGAAGCCCTGATGCTACGTCAGAAGTCTTATGCCTTTGCTCTGGCAGCCAAGACGATCAATGAGAGGAGCTAAGCAGCTTGGTTGAGGTGGCTGAGGATTCACATGCCGAACAGGACTGAATCAACGACCAGAACTGCAGAAGTTGGAGCAAAGGAGGCACACGAGCAGATGGAGGAGGAGGAGGAGCAGGAAGAGGCACCGGGCACTGGAAGAGGAGCTGAGGAATTCGAGGCATTCAGCATCCTCGAGAGGCCGGGGCAGACTTTGCCCCTTCCATGCCGAAGAGCAGCCCTACCAGGCAAAGGAGGAGAAAAAGGATTGCAAGTGCTTAGCAGTCCACAGTTCTTTGCACATTTGCAGGGCAAAACCCATGCGCAAGAACCCAAGGGTTGTGCACTCCACTGACGCCTTCACGGTTAGGTAGGTGTCTTCGGGTGTTCAGGTGTTTTTTGGCAAGGCCTTCAACATGTGATTTCGCCCCTGCACATTTCTCAAGGTAGCAGGTAGCATAGGCTTGACTGCAAGGTACATCAAGCCTCGATTCAAGATGACGACTCAAGAATCATGAACACAAGAATTCCTTCAACTATCTTCAATCGCCCTTCCAGATTAGCCAATTGCAACCCTTGGCTAGTCACCGATAGTCCAAGTTTCAGGACATTGATCATATTTGTTTCTTATGAGATGCGCCACATTGCGCAACAATCTTCAACTTAGAAGAATTGCCGCAGCCTGACGGCAACTGTTTCATTCCGGAAGCAACCTTCTGGACAAGCTAGAGCATGCCAAGAATCACACGGCGAGCCTGGCAAGCAATGACAAACCACATGCCTTTCCGGAGATGCCACGCGGGCGAGAGCCCTACCAACGACACCCGGACCTGCGTTTTCGACGGGACCACGGGACCGTCGCGGGGGGGCACCGTCGGTCTACAAAGCTGCACCGACCCATGCAGTGCATCCGCTGCTGTCGCTGTGGCAAGGGTGCACAGGCGCCCCGCCACAATGGGCAATGGCTTTCAACTAGCGATGGCCTCCAACCTGCCTCAGGTTTTTCACGACTCATGACATGGTTCCTTTCGGGAAGGAGATCTGATACATTTTCTTCTGTGCCGTTCCGCTTCTTTGGAGGTACTAAGTTCCCGGAAAACCGCGTGCTTTTGTACCCCTTTTTGATGTCTGACCGGGACGTGCTTTGGACCTCAGGGCGGCCCATCTGAGGCCGACGCCTCCGACGGTTCCGAGTCGGAGGCCGAGAGCAGCGTGGACGAGGTGCTGAGCTTCGGCGCGTGACGTTCCACGGCGCGTGACGGCCCTGTCAACGAAAAGCATCACAACTGTTGGGGTTGGAAGAGGCCTGAGATGAGGACCACGGGCGGGATTAGAAGGTGTGCATTTGGAAGGTGGGGTGTGTTTGAAGATTCCGGTGTTGCGCTGCGAAGCGTCGTCATACCTGTAGCTCTCATTTTGAAGACTTCTTTCTTGTCATGTCAAGCTGGATTCACCACAGATGGGGCCCGAATATTGAAACCAGCGGGAGAGGTCTTCAAAGTGCACTGATATCCTAAGCACGCCGCCGTTCGAATCTGAAGAAAAGAGGCCCAACAATGCAACAGCAGAAGAAGATCATCCACGGTATCCACACGTATGCTGTATACTCGTTGGTTTGGGACCAGCACGGCTTGTTTGACTTAAGCTAGGGCTGTGCAGATAATAGCTGCAGAATGCACTTTAGACTTTAGACATACCTTCATTGTACCGTTGCTTCACAGCTGCACCTGGAAAAAAGATGAAAAACGGCACATGCATGTTTTAACTTGAAAACGCTGATTAATTCAGATGTGGGCATGCAGGAAGTCACTGCAGAATACAAAGCAACACAGCTTCACTCCCACACCAATTCCAAGAGGAAAGAATCACATTCCCTGCACGCCCTGAATTCAATTGCCAATGCCGCTATGGTGTCGTCGGAGCGTATTTTGGCCCCGGTGGCCGTATTAGGTCTTCACCTTTTGCTGTTGGCCAACGTCGCCTTCCACCGATCTCATCTCCTCACGCCCTTCACCTCGCCTCACGTCGTGCGCGCCCTCGCCGAGTGGAGCCTCGCGCTGCTGGCCCTCGTCGCGTACCTCCGCACCGTGTGCCGCGACCCGGGCATCCTCACCGAGCCCACCGAGCGTCCAGACTCCGCCGCGGCGCGTCCCGCGGCGCGTCCCGCGGCCGCGGCCGCGTGGGCGCTGGCGCCCTGCGGGCTGTGCTGCTGCGCCTGGCGGACGCCCAAGGCGCGGGAGGTGGCGCGGGCCACGGAGGCGGAGCTGCAGCCGATCGGCCGGGCACAGCTGGAGGCGATGGCCGAAGATGTGGAAGATCCGGGGGAAGAGATCATCAGTTTGGAAGATCTGGGAGGTGAAATGAATGAAGTGATAGCTATGCCGGAGGCTATGCCCAAATTGGAGGAACCAAGTGCTCCAAGTGCAAGGAGGAGACATCCTTGGCAAGAACAACACATGCAAAGTGGGGCCAAGCTGCGTTTCTGTAAGGCCTGCCAGATGCATCAGCCACTGCGAACCAAGCACTGCCGCGATTGCGAGCAATGTATCCGGACCCATGATCACCACTGCCCCTGGGTGGGGACTTGTGTGGGCGAGGGAAACCGAGTGTACTTCTTCTGGTTCCTGATTTTTCAGTGGTTGGAACTGGCTGTTTTTCTCTTCGAATCTTGCATGACCTTTCGAGAGAAGGGCCTCGTACCATCCATGTGGCTGGTTCGGGCGCCCTTGCTGCTGGTGGGGATTGGTGTGAAGTGCCTCTTGCTTTTAATGGTCACATGTTTGGTGTGCTTCCATTCCTACTTGGCACTGGCCAACATCACCACCTGGGAGAACATGTCCTGGCACAACATCTCTTATTTGAAGGGCCTGGATCCCGAGCATGGCTCGCCCTTCTCCCAATCCTTGAGCTTCAACCTGGCCGTCTATTTCTGTTCCAAGTCGGCAATACGCCGTGGATCTGTGAAGGAGACGGAGGATGGGTGGATCCTGTGGGAGCTGGGTGAGCAGCATGACCCCTTGGAGTATATATGTTGCAAGATCTGCAGCTGTTTCGATGAGGAGTGATGTTTCGATTGAGGGAATCATCTCAGGCTTTAAGGATGAGAAGGCTTGGGCTGTTCCAAGCCGAGGGGAAGCTGAGACGTGCACAGCCACTTCTCTCGATGCTGCCGCATGCAGCTGGAGTCCGAGGCCACATCCGCCACAGAAACATGCCCTGCAGCCATGGGGGTGTATCCTTGAGAATGGTATCGGTTGCAGTATCCCATCCTGGTAGGAGGGCCCTATATCCAAGGCTGAGAGAAAGGGGAGTCTTTTGGAATTGATGTAAGCGGTTCCTTTGTGGATTTGGGCTCGGAGACCAGCTCAAACAGTGATGCTGCATTGCATAATTTGGGTAGTCCATGCAGCACTTTGCAAAGCTTTGTTTTGTGGCCGTGCTCAGAGCAGCAGGGGGGGCCTAAGTCGTAGCCTTCCAAGATGCTTATGCTTCTTGATCTGCCAGGAGATTCAAGAGGACGCCTGGGGACACGGGTAACCCCTACAAAGGTTGGGAGGAAGGACATTTCTTGCGGCAGGATGTTTGTGTCCTGCTTGCATTGAGTATACAATCCAGTTTCGTGAATAACTGGCCACTAATTGAACACCGGATGCTTTCCGTAGCAGAGGGACAATCAGCAAGGGAAAGGTGAAAGGTGTGTTTGTTGACTCATTTTTCAACACGAGGCATCAACATTTCAGTTCTCTTTTGCCAATCTCTTTGACTCAACTTATCAAAGACGCCATGTATGTGCTGCACGTTGCTGCACTACGCCTTCAAGAGCTGGCATCACATCCGCCAGGAGATTCGAAATCACGAGCAAGAATGGGATTCTTTGCTGCTTGGAGCGATGGAGGGCCGCCCTCGCGTGGAGCCGCCTCAACGGCGGGTCGAACAAAAAGGGCTCGTGTCCTCAATTGTCATTGTGGGCACATGCGGGTGCCGAGGTGTAGCTACGCTGTGAGAGTCAAGGGGAAGGTTTTGTTGTAGCCAACAGCCAACGATGCCTGGGGCGGCACACCGAGGTTTTTCCCGATGGACGCCCTGTGTGGCATTTGTCCCAGGGAGGAGGAGGAGGAGGAAACAGAGCTAGAGGTCCTTTTTGGGACTTGGAGATGTGTGGATCCTTGGCTTCTTAAAGAGTTGACAAGGTCGCGAGGGTTGGCAAAGTCCGTTTTCATTACAGAGTCCCTTGTATCGTTTTGATTCGTTGTGGTTTGTGTGAGGTATGTGTGTGGCACATGCTGCAGTCTTGCAGCTAGTCTAGCAGCTAGAGACTTTCTCATGCCCATTGGGCCTAGAGTCCTCGAGGACCGAAGAAACGTGATTGGCGGTGGCGCCGGGATGGTTCTGGGGCTTCGAAAGCAATCTCAGGACACCTGGGGCTTGGAAGACTTTCTGAAAGCCAACAGCGGCGGCCTCGCGAAGAGTTTCTATCACTTGGTTCTTTTTTTGCTTGGACCCAGCTGGCACACATCGGGCTATTACTCATCATTTGCCATGGTTTGGAATGAACTCCTAGCACGGAGCTGCACGGCATAGCAACTCGCTTCACTCTGCAATTCTTCGAAAGAGACTCCAGCCCAGACGGTGAAAGAGACTCCACCCACGTTTCGGATTCTGCTAAGACGGGGCGCCCGTAGCGCGGCACCGTGCCGCATCCGGAATGGCTCAGGGGTCGGCCTCATCCAGCGCAAGGTGGCCCTGGCGGCCAAATGGCGCATCACCCAGAGGGTCTCAAGGGTTGCGGACCGCTGGGCGAACGACGTCGGTTTGAAAGGTCCTGTGTTCAGTGCGTTTCCAAGAAGTGGAGCCGATGCCTTTCTTCGCTGTAAGTGGTTTTGCATATCCCACCTCCACAAAGCAAGAACACACATGTTCTTTCGACGTCCGTTGTGTCGCTTTTCTCTCGCGAACACCCAGTTTCCGGACAACTTGGAAGACTCTGAGTTGTGGGTCTGGGCCAAACAAAAGCACCATGGGATACGATAGGTTTGTCTTGAACAGGATTTACTTGAAGGGGGGGTGGCTCCACTCCTCCCAACAACGTGTTTTGAAAAATGTGTTTTTTTTTTTTTTGGTTGACTGACTTGCATATCTTGCATGTTGATAGGTTGTACGACTCGAGTAGGTCATGAAACTTTTGAGCCGAACTTGGCCAACTCCATGCTGTCTGGCTGCGGCCTGCGTTGGAATTTCGAAGTTATGTTGCTCAACTCTGCAGCACTTGGCTTACCCACTGGAAAGGCAGGTTAGAGCCGTGTTGAATGGAGCCTACGGATGCTGGACACAACAGGCTGGCCAATCCATGTCTTTGAGATACGGGTTACGATCAACAACGGTTGAAAAGGTATGTTGAAACGTCAAGTGACTCTGCGAAGGCCACATCATTTCCTGTCTCACGGCTGTGCTGTCTCCAGGATACCTTTTGTAGATGATGCGGCGGCTCTAGCGCGAATCAGGCTGCTGAAGAACTGCCAGCTTTTTGAGCATCTATGTAACTCCCCTGCGCTTGACGCCCCCCTAGGCGATTTTTCTTTGAGACTCTGATTTTCACTAATAAATGATATTGAAGTGTGCATGAATCTAGCCACAACTGCAGCTCCAATCGAGGTCGCTTGGAACAAAGCCTGGCTGTGCTCCTGCAGCAGCGGATGGTGGAGTGCGACACGGCGGAACAAAACGCGCTGCAATGCTACGTGGAACAGATGACCAGCCCGTTTAGGAGCGAAGATGCCTACATGCAGCAGTTGATGCAGCTCGTCCAATCTGAGCATTTCCAATGAAGGTGGAATCCGTCGACCCGGTGAAGAGGAAGAAATACGGTGCACGGTGTGTATGACATTGATTCTCTCGCGCACTAGATCATCTAGATCCACCTTTGTTTGGAAGATGGACCAGAGATGCAGGGCACTTCGTGCCCTCAACGCCCTCCAAATGGAGGATTTTCGGCTTCTCACGACATGCTGAGACACTTCCTCCAGTCTCACGTCAAAGGGCGTGAAGGGCTTGGAGTCGGATGGGGCATGGCGTCGCAGCGACGAAAAGGCAGTTCGGGGCCTTGGGGGTGGAGATCCTTCCTCCCTTGGACGGCACGTAGTTCTCTGAATGTTCGTAGTTCTCAGGTCCAGGTGGGATAAGGAGCATGAAATAGCATGAAAGAGCTGACATGATCTCGGCCTGTTTGCGTTCGTAGTTATCAACTCTTCGTTGATTTCCCGACAGGACTGAGGTCCTTCATCCATCTGACACCGAGGCCCAATTGGGACTTCCACCGGAGCGAGCAGGGCGTGCGCTTTGTGAATCACAGTATGTTAGGCGACCTGGTGGAGGACGGACTCGTCAGTGAGGGAGAGGGAGAAGGTTAAGGGGTCGGGTCGGCAGCTCTTAGGCTCCAAATGCTTGGATGGAGCTATGTTCGTAGCGACTCTTGCTCCGTTCGCAGCGATGCCAAGAGCTACTAGTAGCGATGCCCTTTGCTACTAATGGGCGTCCTTGTTGCTATTTGTGTAATATGTAGAACACGTGCACGATGTGGATGGGATCGGATGGAAAAGTTGGTTTCGTCGTGTGGTGCCACACGTGTCCCTCCCAGTGTAGTTGCCATGATTCCGGAGAGTTTTCTTCATTCACAATCAGTTTGAAAGCCGATTTTGTGAGCTGGATCACTGGGGAGATCCTCTGCCAGATGGCCGGATGGCCGCCTGTCAGGAGGTGAATCTGCAGGAGGAATACGTCTCAAGAGACGGCCATGGCAACCTGCTGCGATGCCAGGCCGACTCTTTGATGCGATCAGCACCAAAGTAGTCAGTTGCATGGGGATTCTGATGTTGATCAGTTGAAATAACTTTGTTAAAATAATTTCATTGTCATTGTTAAAATGATTTTATTTGACATATAATTTGTATACGTAAGAGCCCCAGAACGACTAACGCCCTCCAACCTTCCTCAACCTTCCTCCGCCCAGCCCGTGAGCCCGTGAGCCGCTTCGACCGAGGAATGGGTTCAGATCTCCACCGGCGGCATGCTGCGCACCAAGAAGACGGGCGAGATCGGCGAGTGGACTGAAGAGAGGTGGGTATGAGAGGTGAGAGGTGATGAGAGGTGAGGTGAGTGCCACACAGAGGTTTGGAGGGCGGATCATGGCAGATCCATGCTGTTCAGAGTGGGCCAACTGTAAGAGCAAGACTAGAACGGCTTGAAGCAAGCTAAGCAGTGGGTCCTTCTTTCGGGGAAAATCACCCTCCAAGAACGGCGCGGAGTTAGCCCATACACGACCATGCCCGTGCCCACCTCCGACAGATCAGTCACCGGCGACAAGCTCGAGTTCGTCCTGCGGCAGCCAGAGACTCGCCGACCCGAAAGTCGCGAGTGCTGAGTGGCCTAAACATCGCCTGAGAAGCCGGGGGAGCGCAAACCGTGAACATGAAGCAATCCAGGTTGCGAATGTGTTCTAAACAAGTTAAAGAAGTGGAAGCCACTTCTTTGAATCGTCTCCACTCCCCCTGGTTGGATCTCCATGCGGTCAACCCCGAGGTCCAACGGCGCCCAATGGGGGCGATCCTTCGTTCGGGAGACGCCTGCGATGCTGTGAGAAGGCTACCTCTCCGTTGGTGTTTTTGGGGGAAGGAGGGAAGTGCACGTGGCGTTGTTGAGATGTTTCAAGTCACATGAGCCACCTCCGTTCCTGATGGTTGTGGAGTCTCAGCTGGGAGAAAACAACTTCAGCAGACGACGCACATGACGTAAAAAATCACTGTCATTGCAACAGCCGTGCGATTCTACACAGTTTTTGTTCCAGGTTTTGTTTCCACCAGTTGGCCCGAAGCAGCAAGACATTGTTGTTGTTTGATGAGGCCTTAAGGTTCTTTTCCGTCCGAGCTCATTGGCTCATCCATCCCCCGTCGGAGGCACATTTGAAGGACCACCGCGGTCACAAAGAGCCCGCGATGATCTCGCCCTCAGTGACTCGATGACAATGATCCCTTTGATGTCCTGCCAGTGGCGGAAAAAGTGGCCCGTGGGCATGCGGCAAGTATGCGCAAGATTTGGATGCTCCCAGGAGGGACTGTATACATTCACACAGAGAGCAGATTCAAACAGCAGTTTCACAATGATTGCAATCGTTGCACTCATCCAGATTGGCTCTAGGGTGGCGTTGCTATTGCCGAAGGGAATCGAGCCAAGTCCAATTTTTTGGCGATATGAGAGAGAGAGAGAGACGTTCGTTCAATTCCGCTGACGTGGATAGCTTCGGAGAACATGAGCACCATCAGGTCAGGGTGCAAACTTCCAATGTCAATGAGATATGCTTTTGTCACAGCTGAACTGTTGCCGGGTTTGCCATGGGCGATGTTGTAAACATTTTGCGTTCTGGCTGGCATGATGAGCCCCGTGCGGCCAGCAGACGTGGCAAGGCACGATTGCACCATCCTGCGATTATAATAGAATACCGCTTGAATCACAGTTCAATGATCAATGGACGATGTGAGAGGATAGTGGCTTTAAGCTTGAGCCATTCTGTCTTTGTGTATCATATTGAATTTGATTGGACTACTCAACGTGGTCAGGGCTTTCGTTTCTTGTGCACCCGACTGAACGGAGAGGCAGAGCAGCAAAATGGCTATGAACCGCAGAGGCCCTAGCAATGGACACGTGTCAACACATAGCAGGGTGGACAGGCATTGGCGTGAATCAGTTTATGCAACTTCCACACTGTCAAAATTGAGTTGGTACCACCACACGCTGCACACCTTTTTCAAGAGGCATTTGTTCCGTTCAACTGGGTCAATGTAGTGCAGCCAGCCATTCCAACATTAAAACTCATGGATTTGTTCGCAGAAACATCAGAAACGCCTCCAGCAAGGTCCATGCAATACATCCGTTGTGGCCTCATGTGCAGTCTAACAGGCCGGTCATGGGAGACGATCTTGCGGTGGCTTGTCTTTGATTCGGTGGTGGCTTGTGTGGATTGAATCGTGTCGTCAAGGGTTCGTGCCCACCTGGCCTTACCTAGTAGGCACCCAGTGGGGACAATCCGTCGATGCGGTGAGAGGCACTTGTTTGATATCTGGGAATGAGGGAAGGGCGCAGGGCAGACGTGGATTATAACTTATTTAACAGTGCGGACGTGAACTGCATGTTGGCATCATTTCCAACTCCAAGTCACAGAAGAATGTGACCATGCGAATGCAGATTGAGAGCCATATTAAGAAACATCATTAGCTTCCTTCCTCCTGAACAGTATGGAGGCTCACATTGTGTCTTTGACTTTCTTGTGCTGGCGATCCTATTAAACTTTGTAAAATTACTTGACCCTCAAAAGCTAGGTTTAAGCTCTTTTTGTTTAGGAGCTTTCCCATGAATGAACCAGCCCGAAACAATCATCACCATCCCAGCATCCCCAAGTGTGGCAGGGTCCCTTACTCGGTCCTATCCTTGCCATCCACTATGGGTGGATATGCGGACAATCCAATTCATTTGTTTGTTAAATTCCATTGCAGGCTAATGTAGCGACACTTGACTGGGCCTGGAACCATGGTGGCGTTCTCTTGTGAGGCCGTTGGATTGTACTGCCACTGTGGGCCAGTGGCTGAGGGGGAGTGAGAGAGAGAGAGTGGGAGGCATCAGGAGATTCATTCTGTATAGTGAGTCAGATTTTGCCAACCAGTTGTTGCATTTGCCAATGGATCATCATATTGCAGCTTTTTGGGGTTCACAGCCGCGAGCAATTGCGCTTCACCAATTGCGGCAGCAGGTGCTTCACCAGATGACCATTGGTCCGAAACGACATGGACCGGAGATGCCCGAGCTTCTAACGACCTTGGCAAAGGTCATGTCTGCATGCTTCGGACCACCCCCAAACATGGTAAATGAGATCGGCGCAACAGATTTGGCCAAGTGCTTGTGGGCAGCAGCAGAGGTGAAGGATGTGGTGCCAGAAGTGACCAAGGTCCTACCAGCACTTGTAGGACACTTACAGGTCAAGGCAAATCACCTAGACAATGCAGAGGCGTTGTGGTGCTTCACAGCTGCAGCCAAGTTAAAGACGATTGGGCCAGAAGTGTTGAGAATTGTGCCCGCAGTTGTGGACCTTGTTTCCTTGCAGTTGGTTGAAATGAACGCAGCGGAGCTGGCCCGGTGCTTGTGGGCAGCAAGTAGGTTCCCCAATGCTGCGTCAGACGTTGTGCCGAAGCTTGTGCCACAACTGCAAGAGAAGGCAAGCGAAATGACTGCTGAAGAGTTGTCCGGTTGCTTATTGGCAGCAGCTCAGTTGAATACTGCCCCAGACGTGTTGAAGATTGTGCCAAGACTAGTGACAGAATTCGGGGAGAAGGTGGAGGGCATTCCTGCCGGAGGTTTGAGCCGTTGTTTGTATGCAGCAGCTGAGTTGCAGAATTCTGCGCCAGATGTGCTCAAGATTGTGCCGGGACTTGTGGCAGAATTTCAGGAGAAGGTGGGGGG